GCTTGGGCAGCTCCTGGGCCGCACATGCCCGGCTCTGGGATGGCAGAAGGGGGCAGGTGCTGGCTGGCTGCCCCCTTGAAAGGGGCCAGGCGGGGAGGAGGAGCTACAGGTCGTCCGCCTGGTGCCCCAAAGGAGGAGCTGAGTGGATGGAGCAGCCAGTGGCAGCCATGGGGGGGCGCTGTGCAGATTCGCCAGCCGGGCCTCTTCCTGGAGGGGGTTCTTCAGGCAGCCCCTGGGCCCTGCCCTGTGGGGGCACGTGGGGCTGCCCTGGAAGGCCAGTGGGCAGCTGCTCTCAGGGTGGGCGCGTAGCAGAAGGCCAAGTGGGTGGGGGGACCTCGGGGTGGGTGGGGGGACCTCGGGGTGGGTGGGGCCCCCCTGTCAGCCGCCAAGAGTGGAATCGCTGGTGATGGACAACCAGTGGAATAAATCATTCCCATTCAAATGGGGGGGGGCACGGGTGCCTCGGTTGTGCCCCTCCCCTCCTGGAAGAGTTGGCTCTGCAGCCTGGGCTAGCATGGAGGGGGGGCTGGCTCTCCCCCAGGGCAGGCTGCTGCGTTACCCGCCCCCCCGCCCCCCCATCTCTCTTCCCCAGGTGTGGTCACAGTATGAGGAGCCCCTCGTGGAAGACGTGGTGCCCCTGGCTGAGGAGAAGGAGCGCACGGTCAACTACAAGCCCGTCTTTGTGACCGAGGTCACCGATGATCTCCACTTCTACGTGCAGGATGTGGAGACGGGGGGGGGCGGCGGGGGGGGGGGGGCAGCCTTCCACCCCCACCCAGTCTAGGGGGACACAGACAACTGGAGGTTTGGGGAGGGGGAAGAGGGTCTCAGGGAGGGGCTCCAGGGCACAAGAGGTCAGGGGAGGCCTGGGGGTCCCCCAAGAAGCAGGGAGGGGGGCACAGTGGCCAGGGAATGACCAGGCTAACATGGGGGGAGGGGGCTGGCCGGCCTGACTCACTCTTCCTCCTCTCCCCCCCACCTTCCCGGCAGGGACCCAGCTGGAGAAACTGATGGAGAACATGAGGGGCGAGATTGCTGCCTGCCCCCCCGTGGAGGGGGCCTACACCCCCCGTCGAGGGGACTTCTGCATTGCCAAATTTGTGGATGGAGAATGGTATGCCCAGGTCCCCCAGAGGCCCCTCCCTCACCCAGAGCCTCGGACCCCTCCCTCTCCCAGCCGGTCGCCAGGGGGAGGGGCCAGGCTTGGCCTTTCCGAGGGGGGTCCCATGCACGGCCGGGGGGGCTGCTGGGAGGGCCCAGAGGTAGGACGGCCACGGGGCAGGGAAGCAGGCGGAGTTTGGCCTGGCAGGAGAGGCTCAGCTGTGCCCTCTTCCCTCCCGCCCAGGTACCGGGCGCGGGTGGAGAAGGTGGAGTCCCTGGCCAAGGTGCACGTCTTCTACATCGACTACGGCAACGTGAGTGGG